TATTCTTCTTTCGATGGCATTGACACATCATCAACGAATACGACCTGTTAATAATAATATTATAAAAAAAAGAAACAATAATCCGGTCATTCATTCCTGTGATTCATTTCACCACAAAAAAATTATCACGACAGGTTTCTCGAATTTTTAATAAATCATGATTCAATGATGTTTCAATTGAATTATTTAATGATTTAATAATGAATACGATTTAATTCAATTTCATTCGTAATTAGATTCATTTAAAAGGCAGAAATGGTTAATCATATCAATTGTTACCCAATTTTTTCCAGGCGGAGCCCCATAGACTCCTTTCTTCCTTTTGTCCATCTTACTCATGATCATGTCCTGAGTTTGATTAGCAGTGGTCTGCGCAGAGAATGTGATAAAAAGTGGTTTGAATACTTGAGGATTGCTCCTCTTTAGCAGAAATTCCATCACATAAACCGATTTACCCGTTCCCGTTGGCCCCACGAGGAGCACTGGCTTGTGCTCTCCCACAAGATTTTGGAACAGATAAAAGTACCTGACAGTTTCAATGGTGTTAACAATTATCTGATTCATGGGGATATCCTTGGGAATAGCCGGCATGCCCTTCAAGTCCTCCACCCAAAGGGTCCACAGCCCCTGTCCCTGTTTCGTGAATTTGTAATCGAAGACTGAACCCTTTGATGGGATTGCACTGATATATGGTTGTTTGGGGCTGGTTATCTCGGAGGGAAGATTAAATCGGTTCTGAAGATCTTGAGGAAGCTCGGGAGACATTAGACCTCTGAATAAATCATTAAACCACTCTCGATAGGTCACCATTAGAGTTCCGCCCATCGCCCATATGCATGAGAACAAGAAAGATCCCTGAAGAAGAGGTTTTATAAATCTCTAGAGACTCTCCTTCAACTCTAATCCAATTTAATTCACCATAATCATTCCAATTATCTGCATAAATTCCATAAATAATCAACTGATGTACCTCTATCTGCGCTGTTAAATCGGTTTTCGAAATTCCGGATAAGCTTCCCTCATCTTTGAAATCCTTCAAGAAGCAGTCCATCAGATACGTAACAGATCTCACAAGATTTGCATCGGGCATGGTGATCATTTCCTGTGGAGAGCACAATCAAATATACAATAAATATTTCTAATAATTGGCAATGATCTTTTTAAAAAAGAGTACTTTAGCTCCAGTCCGTCGAATGAGATGTATCAAGGCTGGACAGAACCTCAGGAACATCTCCTCTAAATGGGTCTTGATGGGGTCTTCTAAACCTTCAGGGAGGGTATTCAACCAGGAAGTCAACAAAGGTTCCCAGCCCAAGGCCACAGGCTCCATGTAAATCATGCCACATCTGGAAACAGTGGCTGGAGAGGCCACCTCCAGGTCCATTGGCTCAAAAATCAAATTAGTAGTTGGAGCAAGCTGGATAATCTCTCCAGACATCAAACAGAGTTTCTTGTTATCATCCAATACTGTATTCATATTCTCAATCCAAATAGCATCCACAGGACCATCGAAAATCAGCCATTTTCGGTTTTCATTAGTTGAAACTGCAAAGCTACGATAGCTGACAGCTAAAATCCCATCACTCCACTCATGAGAGGCAGGATCAAACTGGCCATACAATTGTCCCATCGTGATTGACTTCGGATTGATGACAATGATTTCTACCTGATGCTCCTCCATGAGCCCCCTCTCCTCAAGCATTCCCAGCACTTCAGCAAGAACCCTGTAAGCAGTGGTTTTACCGCCAAAAGGGAGTCCCACAATCATGAATCCATGCCTGACAATCATCATCTCAAAAATCTGCTGGACCTTCTCCAAGAAGAAATCAGTGCACTGAAAGTTCCTCACACCGCAAACAATTCTAGCGCACTCATTGAGATGTGAATAATCAGGAGTGGGCAGGATTACACCCGGAAAGAGATCAGATGCGATGCCCTGAAAAAGGGGAAGATCATGGCTCAAGAATTTGGGTAAATTTACATCCTTGATGCTCCTCAACATGAGAACATCTTCAGACTCTTCAGGATACTTCAGCTTGAGATTTCCTGCTGCTGTCAGCACAGATTTAACAGCTCTCATGCCATAATCATAATGACACTGACTGCTCAACTGCTCTGAGCACAGTTTATAAGCAGTGACGATCTTCACAGCCAGTGGTCGTCCATTGTAAAACCCAAACGAGTAGAGAGTATTCTCAGCGATAAGAGCGTAATCAGGAACCATCATGGCAACAGATCTGAATAGTGCCTTCAAATTATCAGGAAGTTCGGATCTACCAGCGTATCCTGGGTTCATGGTGATGAAGACAGCACAAGTTGGATCCAGAACGATTTCAGTCCCCTCGAACATAAGTTTCTCTGCTCCAGCGTTTATGCCTCTTTGAATCGTAAGAATCTGTTGAGCTACCACTGATAACACTTCAAGATCAATCCTGTTGAACTCGTCGAAGCAGGACCATGCACCACAAGATGCCAGACCCTTGAAGAACTTTCCCAGGGCGATGTAATCTAGACCGTCTGAGCAGTTGAAGACTACACACTGTTTTGCCACTGCTTTTGCCAAGTCTTTGGTTGTTTCTGTCTTTCCAGTTCCTGCTGGACCCTCTGGGGCACCTCCCAAGTGCAAGGAGAGGGCACCAAAGAGGGTACGATAACAGCGATCTGTCAAAGGAGTGATTACCAACCGCGAAGAGTTCCCGAGGTATTCGTATCCGTATCGGAGGCTCGAGTTTATCATGTAAGTAATTAGATTCTCCTCCTGTGGGAATTTTGGAGGTTTTAACGAGATTCTACTTGTGTAGGTGTTGGAGCACATGACTGAGGGTTTATCGTGTTGGTAATTAGATTCTCTCCCGTTCTATTAATTCGCACCTTCAGTGGTTCTTCGAAAATTTCAAGGATGAATTTGAGTCCAGAGCTTTCATCTCATTGGCGATTTTTTTTTTTTTTTTGGTTCTGATATTTTTGAATATTCCACTGGAGGATGGAAATTATCAGAATCGAATATCCGTCGCTGGATAGGATATTGCTAATTTAATTTCTGGTTTTCGATTTATAAGTGAGAAATCTTGTCTTCCTAAATTCTGATGAACATGTATTCAGCGAGAATCAAAAATAACCGAAATAGAATTAATAATACAAAGTTCATTTCGGTTTCTAAATTTGTGATCATGCAGTGGAAACATGTCAAGAGATTTAGCACCTGTCAGAAAGTAAATCTGATAGGTGCCAATCACTTGCATCGAATTTCTGTCTTCTCTGCAGTTGTGAGACAGATTTGTATCCAGATAGATGTGTATTTTTTCTCACCCGATGAAGAAAAAATTCAAAACAAATACAAAATAGAAAGGATAATGCAATTATTCAAGTACTAATTAATACTCGAAAAGCCTGGGGTTTTAATCACACAATCCCTTACCTTTTAACGTCCCTAAAAGCATTTGTCGCTGGGTTTTGCGAGACTTGAGTGAATGTTCACAAAATAGAGGAAGGATTTTTACCTGCCAGTAATAACGGAGTTGACAAAGCCACTTGAAGTCGCTGTTATTAACTACTTCATCTTTGTGTAGTTGAGTTAGAGTATCTTTTCCGTGGACGTCTAGAGTTACTAATGCCTCTGGTAAAAAATACATTAACATACAACAGAATAAACTGGTACTAAAATCATTAAAAAATTGAATGAATACCCTGATTATTATAATAAATGTAGATAAACATAAATAATACGCGTAATAAATGAATAAAACAACATTCTGAACCCTCACCTAAAGTAATTCGATTTTGTTTCGATAATTTTCCTCTGATTAACAAGATAATATCATGCAATTCCTGTTGGCACTGATCCAGATATTTTTTGAGACCATTAACACCTTGGGGCATTGCCTGTTCGATCTGTTGGGTCCAGTAGAGCTGACCAACACAGAGGACCGTTTGTCCTGGCCACTCCAGAACCCAAGAAGTTCTTTTTTTCAGAGGATAAGCCTCAATCGCTTGTTTCACCATGTTACGAACACTCTTCCTCATGTCTGTCTCCAGCTCCAGTAGCCATTTCTCCACCTGTCCTCTAGCTGCCGACGTAGAAATCACATCTACTAATTCCACTTCCTCTCCTTCCGCTGATTTCATTCTGTGAACTTCCAGATCTGCATCAAATCCCAGTTTTGCAATTCCCTCAAAACATTTTTTCAGATGCGGCTGAACTCTAGAAATTATGAATACCTTATAATTAATTAAAAAATCAATAGAGAAAAATGAATAGCAATTTCAACTCGGCTATTTGACAGGAAAAATCATATTTTCACCTCGTGGGGTCCTTCGTTTCGGAGAGAATCTCCAGCAGTTCGTCATTAGAGAGAAAAAAGAACCTGGGAAAATATAATCTCTTCTTCTCCAGATAGTCATTCAAGCCCTTTTGAATCAACTCCAGCAATCCCATGCTCTTCTTCAACCTCTCCAACATTTTATCGATCTCCACGACAGACATGACTTTGGGATCTGCGTGGACAGTCTTCATGATGTCTCTCCAGGTCTTGTCAACAGCAGTGAAACGTCTACCTTCGTCCGGCATCTGCTGCTGAATATCTGGAGAAGTGAAAATGGGCTCTAGGTACATCCAAATCCCCTGAACCCTCAACCACTGGTCGAGAATATCTTGAAGTAGATGCAGCTTCGCCTCCCATTTCAATATCTGTGCCTCGAAGGGCTTTATGTATGCGGAATTCTTCATGGTCATTGCTTTAGTGATGTGATCATCTAGCATCACCTGGATCTCATCAACAGATGCGATTACATAGGTTCCAGTTTCTTTGTAAGGATTCACTGTGAAGAACATGTTCTGCCAGTCCTTTTGCATTTTATCCATTAGCTTCTCCAAACTACTCTCCTTGGTCGCAGCTTCGGCGATTCCTTCGAACTTATCGATGTAACTATCCAGGCCCATGTTGAGTATCTTTCCCAAGGTCAGCTCAGCATCCACCTTGAAGAATCCAAAATTTTTCCTTTTTTTTTCACCGCAAAACAAAATAAACGAATGGTTTTTGAAGAAGTGAGGAATTCATTATTATGAATTTCTATTAATTCCTTGCTGGCAATAAAAATTTTCTCGCATTTTATTTTTTTTCTATTGACATCTATCTGAAGATCATTTATTAACAATTTTTTTTATAGAATATGGGGGAAAATATTAAAGTAATTTTTATCCGATGTCGATGCAATCTCGAAATGAGCATTTGCTGTACCTTAATGGGAAAGCCAACGATTCCAGAAACTTGGTCCCAATGTCTTGGTTTCATCCCTGGATTTCCCAAAGTCATAATGACTGGGACCCGATCCTTGAAGTCCTCGATCTTGTCTCTGACGATTCCAGCGAGATCCTTGGGTTCAGCTTCTGCTAATTGCTTCTCTAATTTGTACAGAGTCCTGTAAGCGGTGCTGACATCATTGTCGATGTCTTCAGGATCGTACGATCCAATCATCGATCCTGTCCACTTCTCGTGCTTCACAAGAAACTCACAAGTGGCATCGAACAGCTTTTTAAATGGAATCAGACGATCCGCGATTTTTTTACGAATTGGATACTGAGTTGTTTCCCATCCGAAGGAAACTTCCTCCTCATTGAATTTATCGATCTTCTCCATCGCTCCTATCAATTTATTCTCCAGATTTTGCGTTTTTTTCTGGTATCTAAACAATAAGTGGTTGTCAAGGCAGATTATTTTTCATTGTTCATAAAATCAGAAGTGGAAAATTTATGAATTTGAAAAGTAAATAAATAAACAGATGCGATCATTCATTGCGACAAAGTGCAACTTTACACTTTTTATAACAACGACATTACGGATTTTGCAATTCAAAACATAATCCAAAAACTCATTCCAGAGTGAGATCAATGAATTTCCGATTACGACTTGATAAGAAAATTGCAGATCATTCTTGCATTCGCAGATGAATATTAATGAAAGCCGAAGTATAAAAATTGAATACCTGAAAATCTCCTCCAGGTCTCCCCAATGCTGTATCTCCTCCACTTGCTTTGCATAAGATTCGAGTTCTTCCTCGAACTTTTGATAACGACTTTTTAAAGCTTCTTGGAAGTACAAAGTTTTTGTTTTAACATTTTCACGATATTGATCCAGAATCTTGGGCATTTTATTGAACCAATTGAATACGTTGTTGTTAGTAGCAATTTCAGCATCTGAGAGGAGCCAAAAATCCGAGAGGAACGTAACATTTTCGATTATTTCGGAGAGAGTGGATTCGAGAGATTTTAATGAAACTGATTCGGATTTCTGCACGTAGTCTATTAATTCCATCAGACCCGCTGTATTCATCGGATGACTCAGGGCTTTCTCGGCGATTGCTTGATAGTCATTCCCAGCCCTGTCACAAATAATAATTTGAGATCAAAACCCTCACACGTCACAAACTCTCAACCATTAAATTCGCGTTAACCTGATTTAATTTAAAAACTGAAATTCCGGGGAATTGAATATTCATTGCACATTCAAGAGATTCAAAAAGTGATATATCCTCACAATTTTGCTTTCGCTTGGTAATTATCCACGACTCGATTGATTAACATAGCTTTCAATTCATTCACAGAGTCACCAATGGCCTCGATAAAATCGTTCTGGGTGATTTCAAAAAGACCAGCAAAAACCGTCTTCTCTATCATGATCGGGATATCCGCAGCTAAGTTGTGATAATATGCCACTGTAATTTGATAATCATCCAATTTTTTAGTTGTGTCCGCCAGAAAACCGTGTACTTTATTTAATTCCACGCCATTATAAAGCCTCGAGTGCCTGAAAACACAAATTACTTGAGCTGAAAGTCTGAAATAATTTCCCAAACTCTGGAAAGATCAACCAATCTGTCCTTACTCCCGAAGTTTATCCATTTTTTCATCTGGTTCAATCTTCTGCTCCTCCAGAAGTTCTCCAATCTCCTGTTTATATTTCTCCACTATAGCAGGCGAAACTTTTGGCTGAGTAAATAAATCAACGATGTTCAGTGTTATTTTCTTTACCAACAATTTTTATAACGAAATAAAAAAAAAATGAATGAACTTTCAAAAATCTTCCGCATGATCAGACATTCTGAAATAATTACTCTCGTTCTGTTCCCTTCATCATCAATTAGATTGATTCGTTTAGGAATGAATTTATTAATTGACACAACTTCTGGAATACGAACTTTTAGATGAGCTGGTGGTCCAGACCAATCTAGGTACAGCTGTGTCTCAAGTCTCTCGATGCCACCAACAGCATCAATGACAGTATCCAAAATACCACAGAGAACTTTACCAAAGTACTCAATCGGGGGATCAAAGACGAGTTCATTTTCCTTCACTATCACATTGAGCTTGAATCGATTATCCGAGCGGTGGAGTATGAAATTCATAAAATCCCGAAGTGTGTGAGTGCAGATACTTCGCAGCTGGGCTTCCATCATCGTGCTGGCACAATCGAAAAAGCGTTTAAAGCTCTTTTTCTTCAAGGGGCTGGGCACAAGACCCTTTCTGTTATTCTGAAATAATTCCATCATCGAACACTCCCTTCCGCTTTAAATATTTCGACTGTGGGGTGAGGCTTTCATTTATCCAATCATATTTACCACTAGAAAAATTCCCTGAATATTGTCAAACCATTGGCTCTTCAGTATTTTTCTACCATTCGAAATCTGATAAAAAATAGTGGATTTCAAATCCATCAAGTTCCAACTCTCATTGCTCGCTTCGATTGCCTCCAGGTCGATTAGTCGGAAAGACTTCCAGTCTCGAATCCAGTGCTCCAGGGTCAGCCTCATACAAGGATTTATGGGGAATAAATACTTTTGTAATTGGATCTGATGCGAGTTGAAGTCTGATGCCGACATAAAATCTTGAGGACTCAATTTACTAGTCTCCTATAGACAGAATAAACTAAATCATTGATTCATAAAAGTTAATTAAAAGTCGACGTCTAGAAATTAATGAGTTGCGCATTACTGGAGGATTGTTTACCTGTTGAAAAATTTCATCCTGAAAGGGATCGGATAACACAAAATCGACGATTGACTGCTTAATAGCTCCAACATAATCCTCTCTAACTTGCCCCATGAGTTCCTCCATAAAATTTTCGAATCTCTGTCGAAACTCGTACGGCACAAGTTTCACTATTTTCTCCACGTCGTCCTTTCCGATATTAGCAACGTGAATGGTATCAACCCCGTTTCTGACGTAATTGTAGTACCGATTAACGTCTTTATCACTGACAGCATCGAGACCCTTGGGTTTCACGATAAGACCGACCATGAAACGCCGGAATTTCTCCCTCCTGAGGCGATTCCCGGTGTAAGAATTTTCGTAGAAATCCTTTAGTCTTTGTTTCAAGATAACCGATGTCTCTTCCCTGGGTTTTGGACGTTTGCAGGTCATCAAGTTCTCAGGGAGGGTGAATAAAGGCTCTACTTTGGTCTCCATGATGCTGGAAATTCCCGTTGACGGCCGTTTTCGATTACTCTTGAAGGTTTTTCGAGATTTGTCGCTTGCTGAAGAGTCTCGGTACCCATCGTCGCTTATCATTGTCCTGATTTTCGAAAAAACTACTAATTGATGGCTTTCACATAATCATCCAATCAATCAAAGATATCTCGCAAACGAAGAAAAATTTTGAATTTGCGGTCAAAATCTTTTGCGCTGCCCTAAATCATCTCTACAAAAAAAGTCATAACAAAAATTGCGCTATCTCTGTTACTTTTCGAGATTTTCATAAA